AATGCTGTGTTTTGGTGTGCCTAACAGGATTTCCTGCCTTTTACACTTAATTGATGACTGAGTTGGTATTCCACCTCAGTTTTTGCAACAGTAAATGTTCCATGAGCAAATCTTTCAACTGCCTATTGATGGTAAGAAAAATCCAACAGGGCAGAGAAGAGATGATAGATGAAAGTTCCAGGTGTACGGTTCCACCATGGCAGCCTTTATTGTTTGCTGTCTTGCATTTGATCTAATATATTACTTAAAGAAAATCATCTTAAAAAAAAAAAAAGCAGGTTGGCTATTATTTTAAGTGTATGCTTCCAAATAACTTATGGGTTGAGTAGGATTTTGTTTGCTGAAAGTTGTCAGTTGAAATCTAATTTTTTTTTTCTTGTCTCTTTTTTTTGGTTACAACTGCAGGTCAGTTACAGGGGTGGGTTTTTTTGTTTGTTTGGTTGGTTTTTCCAGTTCAGATTTCCAGAGTTGGACAAAATAGCTAATTTATTCTTTCATGCCCTGGTAAATTTTAAACGCTCAGAGTGGCTATAAATTGTAATCTGTGTGTTTGGGGAAGTGAGCCAAAAATTAGTGTTTAGCAAGTAAAGCTGTGTCTAACATCTTACTTCTAATTCTTTAGTTTCGTGTTTGCTGATAGCAAAATATTTAACGTTTTCTACTTCATAACTGGAATCAAATCGGCAGTGGTTTTAATTTCCATTCCTTTCAGTCGCTCACCCAGCAGAAGGAGGGAGGCAGCCTTTCCCTTGGTTCTGCTCACTACATTGGATGTCACTTCACCCGTCATAGCTAGGCTGCTTGGGTAGGGTTCATGCTGGGTCGCTTTACTCTCACAATGGGTGGGGAGTTTCTTTTTTCTTCTCTTACTATTTGGCTTTTGAATGCTGTGTAGTCATTTTGTATTTTAAAAGGTCTTTGTCATGTGTAGTGCATATTACTGGGGATAGTCAGCTTCTGTAAAGAACAAAAAAGGTTAAATGACTTGGGTTTTGTAGTGGTTGGGTTTTGTTTCTTAATTAAAGCCAATTTTAAAGTTTATCACCTGTAAAAGCCTGGATCAACTGTGACAGGAATAGGGAAGTTGTCATTTTAAAACAATTTTTTCTTGTTTTCTTCTGGCTGTGGTCAGTAGAAAAACACTCTGGAGGAATTTCACAGGGGAATAATTATATTTGCAGGAGACATTTTTTTTTAATTACTGTCAGGTAGCGATTGGTTTATGTCCGTGACGTTAAGGCTTGTAACACATTTTCAACATATCCTATATAACGGTTTCGATTGCACATATGTACGTGTAAGTATCTCTGAATACTATTTAAACTTTGTTCCAGTGTCTCCTGTTTGATGAATTCCTCAGGTTTATGTAATTTATGTGGTGTCTTGTATGTTTAATGTTATTCCTTAATTTATTGACTATTCTCCTGGGATTTTCTTTGTCATTAAAGCATAAATTGGATGATATACTTCTTGCATGTATCATACATTAAATTGTATTTCTGTCATAGCCTCTTTTATGTTCATTTCCTTTCGATGTAAAAAAACCAACCAAACAAAAAACCCAAAAACAAACAAACAAAACCAAAACAAACCCACCAAACCAACCAAACAACAAAAACCCCCACAACAAAACAAACAACCCAACTGAAAAAACCCCAACCCTTCCTTTTTGACTTGGTTCAGGTGATTAAGACATTAGTCTTTAATCACCAGTTGCATGACTCTGGAATCCTTCTGATTTTACAGTATCTTTCTGTGATTGCTTTCCTCAAACCAAACATGTATCATGATCACAAATACCATGGCTTGGTTTTTTCTTGCGTGTTGTACCTTGCTTCTGATATATCGAGTACTGCAGATAATCAGAACCTGAACACAGGTATTATGAATGTTTCTTATGGGTAATTTTATTATTATTTCTTCCACCAACCTGTCTGGCTAGTGGTCAATTTTTTTTTCTGCATTAGTTATAATAGGAGTTTCTTCTTTCTGAAGAGTGGTTCAAAATTCAGTGTAACTGCTGTATATTTATCCATGTTGAATTTCACCTGGCACCATTCTGCTTATTTTACAGTTTTCAGTAATTAATGTTGCAGTATCTTCAGATGTTAACTTTTACTAACAAGTATTTTCAGGGGACTTTTATTTGTTCCTTTATTCTTTGAACTTCATATAAGGTTATTGCTTGTTTCTTCCCTTTGGGCAGTTTCTGAGCAGTGAAAGTGTACCCTTGGACAACATACTTCTCCAAAAGGTGTTGTCAAAAAACTTGTTCCAAGAAGTGTTTGATAAATATGCAGCTAAGTGGTTGAATTTATATTTTTGAAATTTTCTAATAGATTAGAAAGATAGAACTTCCCTGTATTGACACTTTACTAATGCATCTTTATTTTTATCATCCTTAGAGTTTTATAATACTCTTAATAATTTTCATCAATTACTTGTAGCTTGGGGAGCAAGTCTCGCAGATTTATGATTCTCAGAATTCGTCCTACTACTTTTTTACAAAAAGAGGTACGGTGTTCGTCTCCCTCGCAGTCATCGTGTGGCGCAGTGTATCTTAATGGAAGGCTGAAATCGTTAGCAGCTTGGGTCTTTTTCTTGCGTTATTTTCAAGAATCCGAAATGGGTTCACACAGGTCTTTGGGCTGTTTCCATATCCCGAAGCTCCTCTTGTGAAATTATTTTCTGGTAGTACCTTTTTTTGGGTGTTTTTTAATTACTCCCTCAGTTCTCTCAATTCCCTGTGGTTTGTGAAGTCTCTTGCAGTTTTTTATATCTAATGGGATTTTAAAAATCCCTAATACTTTTTTTCCCTGTCCTTGAATGTTTGCTCTCTCAATGCTGTTTTTTGATCACTGAAGCGTTTGTCTTGAAGTTAAACAATAATGTTTTGAAAACTTACAGACTACATGGCAGAGTTGGAATATATACTTTTGTCTCAAATAAGCTTTGCAGGTTTTTTTGTCCATCTTCCCATGCGTAAGGGCATGCCTGTGTTTGTCCAGTAACACCTGCAGGATAGCTAAAACCTAGGTATGATCTAATATTTTTTAGTATTTTTCATTATCACCATGTTGTGTGAACACTGGATTTACTAATGATTTATGCTTGGAATCTAAGTGGTTCATTTTAATTCTGAAAATATTTCCACTTGGATGGTTTTTGGCTTTGGTCTCTGCTGACGTGGGGCTGTTACGCTCTGAGTTCTAGATGCTCGTGTAGAGAAGCCAAGGATGTTGGTTTTGCTGGTATTCCAAAACGTACTTTCTAAATAAAAATTAAAAGGTTTTTTGTTTTCTTTTTTGTTTGTTTCTCTGTATATCAGTTTTAGATAATTTCTGTTAGTTGCAAAAGTAGGATGATGGTGAGCTTGTGAAGGTGAAGGAAGACTCAACTGAAGCAGCCTTCCTTTGGTTGCTCGCTAGTGAAGGAGGATCAAGCAGAATGAAGCAGCATTCCACTCCTGCTGTTCAGAGAGCGGAGCTGCCTTCCACTCTTACCTTTCCTACCTTCTGCCACTTCTGCTGTAGGATGAGGAAGAAACTTGCTTGTAAAAAGTCGTTCTCTTCATTGTGGAGGAATGCAAGGAATTTAGTAAGAGAAGTCATCTACTTGCCTGTTTTCTTTCATGTCCTTCCTTCCTCCTGCTGGAAAAAAAGCCTTCGCTAATTCCTTGAGGAACTTTTAAAAATCTCACAGGGAAAATAATACCTGCTTGAGGTATTTGAAGAAATGTTGAGAAAATAAGTTAATGCTGTTCTTCCCCTCCCCCAGCAAGTGAACGTGTGTGTGTGTGTGTGTGTGTCATTTACCCTGGTGTTGTGGGCTCCAAGGCCAAAAAGGGGTCCTGCCTTACACCCGTTTGGGAACTGCGTTATGTCTTGTCTTTATGTACATCCTGATGAGTAGGTGTAGGTGCAAGGGGAGCTGGGCTAGACAGGAACTTGGGGTTCACCCCCATGGCGCGCTCTGTGAAGAGAAATGTTGAAAAATGCACACGTGGCTGTCTCGCAGGAAGGGTTTTGCGTGGGTAGTTACGGCCTTTTGGAGAGGGTCCTCAACAGCCAGAGACCCCAGCGTTCCCTCTCTGAGATGACTTTTATTCCCCTGAAAGCGTTTGGCTAAGGTATGTGAGAAGGCTTGTACAGTCTCACAGGTGTTTTAATAACTACTAGCAGCTACTAGAGCTTCTGTGGCTCCTTACACTGTGCGAGTAGAACCTAACAGTAAATTCCCCCTTGTATTTATTGTTTTTCTTGCTCTCCCTCTTTGAACTCTCAAGGTTATTCAGTTATTTTCCTCACAATTTCATTAGGAAATTTGCCAAAAACATCCTTTCTAGGCAGCTGTCTCTGGACCTTTGGAGGCCAGCACTAATGTGCTTCCAGTCTGTAGGGGGTGTTTGGCACGGAATTATGAACTAGGCCTTCAGCGCTTCGGGGGAGAGAGGGGAAGAGATAGCAAACGGTTTACCACACCCAGGTGCAAATTTCTGCAGGTCTATGAGCATTCAGAGGCTTTCATCTCTTGTTGTACCTGTTTTGTCCTGGTGCAAGGTCTGTTAACAGCAACTAATTGTTGGTGTGAGAGAATTATAATGGAAGAGTTATTTTGCTGTTCACTGAACGTTCCTTTGAAGGAAAGCTTCTGTGTGTGCGGGAGGGAGCGGCTCCAGCGATCTTCAACTGTTCAGATATATTTTTTTAATGAGGCATTGATTTGTATTTCTTTTTTTTTTTTTCATTTTAAAGCGGTGCTTGAAGGTGCTGTGGTGTTGTCGGCCTGTAATACTTCATGTAAAATTGATTGAAATATTAAATGTTTTGCCGAAATGAGCACTGGGAGGAGTTAAGCATATCAGAAAGAGCAAGAAAAGCGTTTCAGTGCTTGCTTTTATGCCCCACTGAACAATATAGGCAACTGCTGTACCATATGTACATATAATATATTTGTCAGACTAACTGCTCCTCGTGTTTGACTAAACTGTCTCCTTGCAGCCACCCACACAGACTCTGCCGATGGGCCCGGGCGGGATGAGTCAGAGCGGGCCCCCCCCGCCGCCGCGCTCCCACAACATGTCTTCCGACGGGATGGTAGGTGGGGGCCCTCCTGCGCCACACATGCAGAACCAGATGAACGGCCAGATGCCTGGTAAGTTTTTCTCCTCCAAGACATTAACACCAGCGTTGCCTGGCAACTGGAACGACATGGGGGCTCAGGGGATACTAGATTGTTGATGACAAAACTGCTTTGAATGCCCCCGAGTACAAGCTCTCTTAGAGTTTGTTAGCTACAGAGCTACGTGACCTGTATTCAGTGTTTATCAGGCTGCCCTTGGGCTTTGATGTAGCTGACACACAGCATTCCTCTGATGAACAGAACTGGCTAAATTTAGTCTGTTTGAAACCATGCAGTACAGCTGGCTTTAGAAGGCTTATTGGGGAAGGGTATTGGCCTGTGGCTGAGCGAACACAAATCCTTCCATAGAAAGATAATGTGAAATCGTTGTAGCTAAATAATTAGATAATAAAATAGATGTGTCCTAAAGAGGGTGTTTCAAATGTCAGTAAGTGTTTAAAAAAAAAAAAAAAGATTGCTTTTGTACAGAAAGTCACCCAGCTCCCACTAATCTTCTGTGTTCTTTATTATTGAAGATGTGTTGAATCGTAAGGGATTTGTAAAGAAATGGCCTCCAGATTATTGTTCTAGGTGTAAATTTTAAGTCTGTTTTTATGCCATCCTGTTTGTAATAAAAGGGAAGGTGCTTGGGAAGTCAGAAACGAAGCAGTGAAACAAGATGATAAAATTCCACGTTGTACCTACCAGTACTGGCTTTGGGGTAACTATTCCCTTTAGCAGTCAGATCAGAATGGAGTAGGCCCCGGAAAAGCTTGCTGCTTTATATAGGGGCTGTTTCCCAGAATTTCCACTCATAAAGTCGTACTGCCTATTTCATGTGAATTGGCTTTCAGTTTAAAATTGCATTCCCAGGATTGCTTTTGTTCAGGACACCTTAATTTTTTTTTGTGTGGAGGAACTTTTTGTACAAAAGTTCCTTCAAGGTATTGATTCTTCCAAGAAAGGAAACTGCTGTCAAAGGATCTTTGAGAATTCATCTCTCAGGGGTCACAAGGATAAGCTCCACGACAGCAAGCACAGTAAATAACTATGCAAAACTTAGAATGAAGTAAAATATGGTTGCTGTAGTCAGTAATTTCTGTGCAAATCTTGATAAAACGGGCATGATAGTGACAGCTTTTCTGTGAAGAGTGGCTGAATAGCCTCCGGAGGCTGTGTGTAAGAAGTGTAATAAAAGATCTGGAGAAGTTAGTTTTGTTGGTCATAGTCTGCATTTGGAAGTGGAAAGAGCGATATACGCTGCTCCCTAAGTAAGGCAGAGATATTCTGGTTGTGGAGTCCTCTATCCATCTAAGATCCATCAGGTCCCATGGAGAATAGCATTGCCTCTCACAAATCAGTCTCTTTGACCCTCTAGTGTAATCATATTATTGTTATTATAATGATCTTTTCCAAGGAGAAGGATTACTAAGTCACAATGTGAGCCTAATGACTTCACTGCAGAGCCACGGGGGAGAAAAGTCACTCCTTAAACATACATATTTTGTAATTAGATAGAATAAGAAAAGAGCTCTTACGAAAATATGTGAAAGGTAAATAGGTTTGTTTTGGTATTCACCTAGACAGATACTTAAATACAGTTTCCAACTAAGCTTTAATTTAGCCGTTCTTCCAACATGTTCCCTATTTCAAATGGCTGTTCCTTCCCTTCTCTGTTCAAGGTTGTCTCTGAGGATGTGAAGATAAACAGCTTAGGATGAGGGCATCTCTAATGTTGGAAAGGCATGCTGAAATGATTTCATAGTTAGGCGTTGGAAAGGGGGAAGCAGAATTATCTTGTTAAAAAAAAAATCATTCAACTATCCGCTTCAGTGTTTGCTAGTTTGCCTGCATGTGAGCCTTTCTTTCTCCATGTATTCTGTAGACGTGTATTTGTAATAATTTCTGCAGTGTATGCATCTGCTTTCCGTTCATAGGGCGCTTCCTCTACAGTTGCATAGACACTTTGTCATAGAAGCCAGGTACAAAACCTTAAATGTCTGAAGAGAAGATCTGTCCAAAAGGAATAAAGTCACTAACATGCAAACTGAGACAATCCAGGGTCGACAACCACGAGTTGACCAGCCTGGAAGAAATAAAATGCAGGCTCTTAGAAATACCAGCTAAGGGCTTATCTGAGCAGGGGCTTCCACAGGCCTGAGCGTGGGTGGAAGTGTTGATGGGAGGATTAAAAGAACTGCCTAGTGATGGGCAGGGCATGGGTTGATTTAAGGTTCTACTGTAGAACTGATCCATTATCTAAGGGGCAAAGGATGAATGTTCTCATACTTCTGTTGTGGTTAATAAAGTACCTGCAGTGCTGCTGAGGCCGTTAATTGCATCTCCTGACAAATGAGTCTCTGTATCCTCTTCCCGGGGAAGACAGCCGTGACAAACCTTTTTCAGCCTATGGTGGAACTGAGTGTTGTCTGTAGATGTGACAGATTACAGCTTTTACCTGAAAAAATTAGTCTGAAGAGTTACATTGACTGAGAGTTTGTGTGATGCAAAGTAAGGGTGGTCTGGATTTGGAAGGAGATGATGAGCTGAGTTGTGCTGGTGGCAAGTTACCTTCTTGGTTTCTTGAGCTTGTTTTGTTGTGTGTAGAAAGCTGGAAGGTAAGACAAGCCGTAGGGTTCTCTGACCTTTACCCGGGCACTAGTAGGTGACCCTGAATAACAGGTGCTTGTGTGTTACCAACAAGTGCTCTCCAGGTCTTCTTTCCTTGCTGCACATGTGGTCTCAAATGCACTTAGGCTGGCTTACAGCTTCTCACAGCTAAGGCACTGTCCGTAAGTGGTTAAGAGGAAAAAGGCTCATAGAATCATTTTGGTTGGAAAAGACCTTTAAGGTCATCAAGACCAGCCGTTAAGGACTTCTGTTTATAGTCAAGGTAGATGCTTATGCCACTAACTTTACTAATTAGATTCTGTGTTATAATTCAGCATTTAAAGCAGTTACTTTTATGGCAGGTACGGACTTCATGTCATTCATATTTCATTCATATTCCATTCTTCCCATTTCATTTATTCTTAGGGAAAAAAAAAAAAAAAATCAACTGTTGTGTCCTTATGTGCAGGAGAACCCCATGACGTATTTTGGCCAACCATAAGAAAATTTGTTTGTCAAGTTGTTCTTACTGGTTTTCATTTGCACGGTTTTTTAATACTGTGGTCTGAGCTTTTCCTCTATCCTTGTCTTCTGGCTTCTCACTCACAAACTACCTGATTATGACCCCAGAACATACACATGCCTGACATTCTGTGTGCCAGCTTTTTCGAATGAATGCTTTCTCCTGTTTTGGTGCTACCCAGGACATGAAGTGTAAAGCAGCGGTTTAGAGAAGGTGTTTTATTTTTTCAGCTGCTTCTCTGCATGTATGATACCTTTTTCTGCTTCTTCATTTTCCTTGATAAAATAAGTTCATGTGTTCATTTTGGTAAGGTGCCTTGAAAAGGATGAACATATCTGTTTCTGCATGTTGGCTTTTAGTGGCTGTATTCCTTGATCATTGTTATCTTTTTCTTCTGCATCTTTGCAGGTCAGTTGACCTTGGTGACCTTGGTACAGCTCTCTGTGTCCTTACTGTTGCCGTTCTGTCCTAGATTAGTGCAGTTCTCTCTTTAGCCAAGGTCTTGGGAGCTGTTTTCATCTGAGGGCAGATGTGGGGGTTTGGGTTTTTTTGCATAGGGAGATATGTAACCAAATTCACTGTCTTCCTGCATCTCTACTGGCATAGTTTCTTTTAGGTTCTCTTCCAAGTTTTCTGTATTTCTTGGGTTTTGTAGCTTAACAAAAGACCTGTGGCATGTTTGGCAGCAATGGCATCTTCTTGGTGAACTCTGTATGGATGAACATTTGTTTACAGTGACCTACTGTGTCACATGCTCTGATTGTATGTAACTTCATAAACTCTTCATGTGGTGCTTGTCATAGGCATAATCCTTGCATTTAATTTACTTAATTCCCTTGTCATGTTTATATCCAGTCACACCTCTTACTAATTTTCCTCCTAATAGCTGCTCCCTTATCCCAGCTAAAGTAATGAGTAAGTTGATCAGATGATATGGTAAAGTTTATACTTTTAAAAATACCCATTGACAGTAGATTTAATTCAGAGAACAATCCAGTTCCAACTTGTGTTGTCAGGAAGAGGGGAGATAAAGTGAAGACATGTAGTTGGCCTCATGGGTATACGAACAGGTTGCTCTTCCTTTGCATCTTTGCAAGCATGAGAGGTGAGCTGGTAATTTGGTGGCTGACCTTCCAGTCATCCTCTCCTGTCCCAGTGATCTGTAAATACAGTAGATCATACGTTCCAGCAATGTTAAATATGCCTTCAGCCATTTTTGTTCTGCATGTATTTGTACCGTGTTGATGTTAATGCTGTCTGACTTTTGCAAAGAAGTATTAACTAGTACTTTCAGAGCAGTCTCCAGTATGGTTGGTTTGAATAAACAGAAGCGTTACAGCAGTTGTAACAATTATGTAGGTGTGACGGTTCAACAGCCGGCTTGGTAGCTCCGATCTTGTGCAATTCAGATTGAAGTTCAGACTGTGTTGTGCAAGTACTAAAAAGACTAGTTTTGCATATGATACAGGTATAAGATGAGCTGTAGGGTAATTTACACCTTTGTTTTAGTAGCCTCAGCTGCTCAACAAAAGAAAATGTATTCTGTAGTAGAGCTGAGCTTCGACTGTTGCTGACTCTTTAAGTTGGGAAATCATGAGCAAACCCTTTATTTTAGCTTTGTTTTAATGTAATTTGTATTTAATGACTTTTATGTAGTTTTGTGATTCAGTGTGATGTATTTGCTTGTTCATGGTGTTATGCTTAACGTAGAACCTTTTCGCCTGTTTCTCTGTGCAGGACCTAACCACATGCCTATGCAAGGACCTGGGCCCAACCAACTCAATATGACAAACAGCTCCATGAACATGCCTTCAAGTAGCCATGGGTCGATGGGCGGCTATAATCACTCCGTGCCATCCTCACAGAGTATGCCAGTGCAGAATCAGATGACCATGAGCCAGGGACAGCCGATGGGCAACTATGGTCCCAGACCAAACATGAATATGCAACCAAACCAAGGTAGGTGGGGTGCTTGCTACCGTCTGTAAAAAGGAAACATCTCGGGTACAGACTTATTTTAAAGGTAATTTCTTACAGGTTTCCTTCTCTAAATGCATTTCTACCCGTGTTTTGGAGGACTTCACATCTCCTTTCTCCCATGTGGCAGTGGCTTTTTATTTATTTGCAGACACTGAACTGTTTTCAGCTCTTGTGTGAGAATCTGGGAATGGATCCACTTTCACCAGTTATAAGTTCGAACTACTGTTTCTCTTTCTCAGACTTTACACTTCTATCTAAGTGTTATTATTGCTCAAATTGATAAAATACATCTCTACTCTTCAATCTCTTGGGTAAATTGAAAAATTAAAAGTCAGGTAGCCCTCAGGTTTTTGTACTAATTAATCTTTGTTCTTTGCTGCATGCTGTTTTAGCATGGAATGTCTGTTAATCTTAAAGAAATAAAATTCAGTTGCAGGAACAAATCTGCTGCTCCCTACTGTTTTCAGGAGATGTCCTTGTGTATATAGTAAAATTCAAAACTAATTTTGTATCTAGGATATTGGCATAGCATAAACAGATGATCTGTCCTGTTGACAGTATGGTCCTTGTTGAAGCGCAAGGACATTGCGGAATTAAAATATTGCATTAGAGTCACAACAGACCGAATTATTCAGTTGTAGGTATACTGCATGTTCTTGTAGATGTGCCTTACGAGTCAGCAAGCAGTACTTCCAGCTTGCCTGTTAAGTCTGTTACTACGTGGGATCTGGACGTACCACTTGCTAGAAGACATACTGCGGAATTTTTTTAAAAGATGCTTCTGCCACGGTTACAGGTAGTGCATGGGGGTTTTCCCAGTACGTGTGAGCTCGTATGGATATATTATCTGAAGGATATGGCTTAGGTTGAGGTTTTCATCTCTCTTCTGATGCTGTAGGAGAATGTGGAGTTTTTTTCTAAGGCTCCCTTCCTGGTTGTTGTAGAAAAAAAAGAATCCTCCAGTGGCATAGGTGGTTCTTGGTGCAGTACAGTCTCATTGGAGGCCAAAGCTCCACTCTGTTAGGTAGATACCGTTTGTTCTTGAGGTGTAACAGACAGACCAGGTTGATTGTTAGATCACAGAAAGGCTCAAAATGGGCAAAAGACTAAGTTAATGAGAGACCAGAAATGGGTCAAGATGAAACAGCTCTTTCTGCAGTTTTCTTAACAGTAGTGAAAGTGGGAAGTCAGAGTCCTTCATCATCCACCCTGTTAATGGCATTTTTCTTAAAACTTAACAGCAGAGGAGGCAGAAGATAGGCCCATAGCAGGGGAAACCATCACAAGTGGGAATATTTTTGACTGTCTCTCTGAATTGGCAAGTTATCTGTGTATTCTGGGCAATACACAGTGGAGTAATTTTGTAAACATTTTAAGATGCTTTAGAAAAGTCCTGTGCATGCTCAGTTGAAATTTCTTAGTGACAGAGAATTAGCAATAAATACGTAGCAGTGTGTGTGAGGGAGCCATCCACTAAGTCACTATGGAAAACAACTTACTTTGTGTGACTGGCTTACAATTTAGGACTAGTGATTATTCCATCTAAAAGTAGTGTTCTTTGCTCTTCCTCATAATATTCCCTTGCTGTATTTTCAGTACTCTGTCAAACTGGAAAGTTGCTCATTAGAAATTAGGCAGAAAGATACTTAAAAGGTTTCTGTTCTGAACAAATAATAGTGCTGAAGTGGCTTTGGGGAATAAAGAATAAAGTAGTATCTAACCAAATTACAGGTTCCAGAACAGGAGCTGGTACCATTGCCTGCACTTAGGGCCCCACAGTAAGATTTCACTTTGGATAACCCTAATTTTGCCAAATTTTGACCTTTTGGGCTGAGAGCTTTTCCATTCCAAGGGTCTGCTTCAAGGCTGATTTTCTTTTTAAGTTTTCCAGAAGTTTCACAGAAGTGGAGAGCCATTTCTGACAGTGGGGTGAAAAATTACATTCTTTAAAATATTTCAATGCCTCACGAAAATGTTGGTAAATAGAGCACTTCATATGTAAATGGAGGGGTGCAGGTGCCTCTTGCTTTAGAGCAAGGCTTTGAAACCTGTCTGTTATGCCAGCAAGGTGCTATTTGCTCTTTCAATGAAAATATGTCCTAAATTAGTAAAATTTTAAATATCTATGGGGGAAGAAGTCTTTAAGTCTGAAGATGTGCATGTTTGTTATGTATTGATAGCTAAGGCCTTTACCCCGAGAATATTCCCAATCAGATCTACTTGATACATCTCCATTTTCTACTCTTAGTTGTTGCATTTGTACTGAGGATTTGCTGACAAATCAGAAGAAATATTTTTGTATCTTCACTGTCTTGTGACTCCAAGACAGCAGGGGAGAGAATGGCGGAGACATCTGAGACCATGAGAGGTTTAGATGGGTAGCTCTGATCCAGAGGTCTCAGCCCAGCATGGACACTGCAGGCCTCTCGTCTGAGTGAGGAACAAGAATGAGCTGGTACGAAGTGCATCGAGGGGCAGCTTAACTAACAGGGAGTGAACAGATTGTGACTTGAAGGTTCCTTAGCTGGTAGGTGTGCTGCCCTTCGGCAACAGAGATGAACCAAAGTTTCTGAACCTCAGTCTTGTTGTCAGGAGACGTTTGTGACCCTCTGAGCATGTTTTGTTTCTTTGCCTTATAAAGGTGATCCATACTGAGAATGAGAGATCCTGCTGTGTCTGTCGGTTAATAACGGCACTAGCTAAACAGAACCCTAAATATTCTGCAAGAGAAGGTCTTAGGATCTCAAGTTGGCTGTTAAAAATGAGTAGATGTTTTGGACCTTAATCTTTCCCTGCCTGGGTTCCCCATCTGTAGAGGAATGAATCTGATGGTAAGATTACGATACCATCTGATTTCATAGGAGTGTTGTGAAAGTATATCCGTGATGAAGATTTGGATATTTTGGTTATAAGTGCCATAAGAAAACCTGTGAGTAAATGAATAATTCTGTCTTCAGCATTTGACTAGGCATGGCATCTCACACGAACAATCAGGAGGAAACAAAATACTGAAACAGCTTTTCAGTGAGTCATGTCTACGGTGTACTGAAGGAGGCCAGTCCTTCTAGGAAAAAAGCATGCTCTCATCTAATAGATAAAGACACTATGACACACAGAAAGGTTTGATCTAACTTTTGTGTGGGTTTAGCATAACTTTGTGTGTGTTTCCTAGCAAAGCATCTTGCTGTATGTACCCATTTTGAGGCAGATGGTGTTACTAAGAAAAAAATTAAGAAGTGCTAATTAAAAAATAAAATGCATGGTAACAGAACCCATTGTTGGGTTTGCTTTCTGTCTCCACTTTCTACTCATTATTGATTTGCACTCATTTATAAAATGTTAGCCAGGGGAATATCTTAAATGAGAAGCAAAATTTTCATGGTATTGTTTTTATGTAGTCAGTCCAGTTAAAAGAAGAATTTTAGTCATTTTGGACTTAGGAAGCAGAATGTTTTAAGTGGAAGATTCTGTAGATGACTCTTGATTAAAAAGCTGCTGTAGCAGCCTGGGACATCTGCAAGGGATATTGGCTCCCTTTTTGGAAAAGATGGGAAGCAGCAGGGGCTGAGTGAACGTGGAAGAAACTCCTTATAAGTGCATTTTTTCTATTGTATGGAAGCTACTTGTGTGGAATGAAATATTTCAAATCTTGCCAGTTTTTGACCTTGCAGTGGGGAGGTGTAAGCACAGTTTTCTGGAACCTGAAACTTCCATGGAACTTCCTCTTGCTTATGTTGAACAGATCTTTCACAGTCAGAGAATGATAATAAACAGGAGAACACAAATACTTTAAAAGTAAGGACCAAGAAATTATAGCTTGGCCATCTCAAACTTTGTTTCTCCGATTGTTTTGCTAAGCTCGGCCACCTCAAGAGACTGTGTTTCCCAGATCCTTTTGCTGGGATTCCGTTGCCTTGCCAGAAGGGCTTGAAGCAAAGTTGCGAAAGTCCCCAGTTTGTATTTCATGAGCATTGTAGGTTGTTTGGAGTGAGGGAGGGCAACAAGTTTACTTTTAACAGGTGAGCTCTACATGAGGATATCGTATTGACTCCCATCATTTGCAGAAGACCAGTTGTTGAATCTGGTGTTGAGACTTTCATTTATATAAACTTACAAAATTCCATTAAAATTTCAGAGCTCTTTCAGTTGCAAGCAAATATGAAGAGATCATGGAGACAGCAGAGGCAAGTGCAGAATTCCTGTTCTTTTGTTGGTCACATAAAGAAAGGAACATAAAGATAGGGACAACCAATGCTATCTGAAATATGAACATGTTCAGGGTATGACAGATCAAGATAAAATGATTTCTGAGGCAGAGGACCTTTTGTGAACGTCTCACCAGCTGTTCATTCCTGTGTGAGCAGAGGCTGTTACGTTTCGATGCCTCAACTGCTTATGATAGCCATGATGTCATGGACAAAATAGGGTGGTCTCAATTTTTTGGACACCTAACCCATTAAAGAAAACCAAAATTGCCTCGACATTCTGAAGTGCTATCATGCTATAGCTGGATTTATAGAATGTCTAGCTGTAGAAGACGCTGTGGTTCTTCAATCTTGAAAAAACAAAGGTATGAGTAGGTGCCACAGTGCTTGGTCTTTTCATGGTTCTTCCCTGGTGTAAGACACGAAAGGTGACGTCGGTAACTAAGGATTTTTTTGTATGACTTATTTTTATGTATTTTTTTCTTAATTGACGTGGGAAATTATGGTTCAGTTTGAGATGAGAACTTTGTGGAATCAGTGAGTGTGAAGTTTCTATTACCTTTAATTTGCACTCTGGTGACGCTCTGGATGTGGATATCAGCTGCACCTTGTGGAATGCCCAAAGAACAGACCTCTTCTTCGCGACAGAACCAGACTGGCTTTGAAGCCTGAAGACACAACAGCTTGTGCTGGTGCTTTTTGGTTATACCCAGCTGCTCCCATAGCTCTTTAATTGGAACGGCAGAGCCACCAGTTCGCTTGTGAGCGTGGTTCCTCACATCTCTGCTGTTTCAGAAGTTTCGACCGCGTCAGCAGTTGTTCGTGTCCTCTCGTAGCGTTTACCACCGTTACCTGAGTTTCAGCATGAAAGACAAAGCAAAGGAGACTTCTTTTAAAACCACTAAGTTTTTCTGCAGCTGTTTCATCCTCAGTGCACTTCTGGTCTCAGGTTTGTCTGGGACCCACTTCTAGTTTGTGTTTCTGTTTGTTGTGACCTGATTGGAGATTCAGGATCTGTATTTTAAGTGGGCTGTAAAAATACGTGCTATGAGTATTAGAAAGGCCTGAATCATGAGCTAATGGCCTTAAGTTTTGTGAAGGGGTTTCCTAGGTTAGTTTTATGTCATACTAAGTATTATATGATGAGTAAATGTAGGTTTATTGTAGGCTTGATTTATTTTTTTTTTTTTAAAGAAAAAACATATTTAAAGTTCCTTCACCCCTTAAAAGTACTGCATAAAATGGTTCTGTTGTGTGAGATGATAGAGACCATGGTGGTTCTTTTTAGGTATCTTCTTAATAAGAGAGAGATGTGAACCAAGCTGGAAGGAAGCCAGGCACTCTGTTACTAACACAATACACGGTCTGATACAGGGTAGTGAATTCTCATTGTGGCTCTACAAAGCGTTAATGAAGTTCTAATTTAAAAAGCAAACAGAAAACCTCTACATTGCACCATGGGGACCCAACACATTTTATCACATTGTATTGTGACTAATATTAATATTGTTAATTAACAAGCTTTCTTGAGATCTAGGAATATTATGGCAACAAGTTTTTATTTTTTTTTCAAGCCTGCCTAATGTTTCTCAGTACATCCAAACAGAGGAGCAGTGAAATGGAATGATCTAAATTATCTGCTTGTTCAGAAGATGAAAAAATGAAATCTATTTTTGTTACGTGAAAAATAATTACTATATCTCAATTGAAACCATTTTTTAACTTCAAAATCAGGACATGGAATCTGCTATGCTGAAGGATAGAAGCATAACTGCGTCATTTTAAGAGTGGCCAGTATTTATCTTCAGAGGAAAATGAAGCTTAACAGAACTAAGGGCACTTTACTTCTCACTGAGAGCTTCCACACAGGGGTTTAATGGGATTTAACTAACGCACTTTGAGTTCATACCATTAATTAATGTGGCTTAACTTTCTCTCGTAACCCCACATAGACAGGGTCTAAGTGACTGTGCATTCCTTTCCTTGTAGAAATCCACTGTCAGTACGGACCACATCTGGGTAACTCTGCAGTGCTGTGGTTTCACGTAGGACTTCCTGCTTGTGTTCCAGCGCAAATAGTTTTAAATGGCTATTTAAAAATATTGAATGCAATGGCAAAATCCAGCGTGCCGAAAACTAGATGATACCTTCCTTTTTCTCCTGGGGTGGGGCTAGGGAGTGGCTGTGCTAGTTGGATGTTTTGATTTGTTTTGTTTTTTTTTAGTGAGACCAGTTAACTTGTTGTCTTCATAGTTATAAAATATTTTTTTTTAAAAGGCAAAAAAAGCTTAGTGTTTCACCCTTACAAGGTGTGCAATAGATGTTGAGTGGTTTGATTTAATGTATTATAAAAACGTGTGGTTTCAGAAGTTTAGTTCCTGGTCTCTTTCCTCCTCGTGCTTTTAATACTGGAGCAAGTCCCTTCTGAACTGGTACTGTAGAGGAAGTGAAGAAGCTGTTCTGTGTTGGAAGTTACATCAGCCTAACCTGCAGTCTCGGGTAATGAAATGGTGTAATCATCCTTCTCATTGCTGTGTGGTGTCAGCAGGGTGCTCTTTAACTGTCTGGTTTCATTACTGAAGCTTACATTTCTCCAAGTTTGGCCTTAATCAGGTTTTCTCAGTTGATAAAACATGGACAGCACTTGATCTTTCCTAGGCTCTTGCTGTGGTTCATAGGAACTTGGTGCAGCTTGGCATGAGAGAAGACTTTGGTTGCAGGCTGCTGGGGACGGTTCAGTGGGGGGCAGAGCGCGCATTTCTGTGGGCCTTTCTGCATAGCCTGTTGGGTGGTTGCCTGACTTACTGGTACGTGTGGTTTGTCTTTACAGGCTAAATAAACTTGTTTCTTCTGCGGTAACAGCTAAGTGGCTCGTTGATGGACTACAGCAACGACTACATGTGTATTAAAACTGTGCCTCGACGAGTTCATGTTAAATGTTTTTTCTGTGACTTACCAAAGTGTCACTCTCAGGTTTTCATCTACACTTCTTTGCAGATGCTTCTTAAAACAAACAAATAAATGGCAGAGGTGTTTGTTATCTCTGTGTGTGAGTAAACTAATGTCTGTGTAGTTTGGAGAAAAACCATCTAGAGAGCAGCCTTATTTCGGCTGAGTTCAGTTTTGTGATTTGGTTACCGACCTGATCGCCCGTATTTGCCTACGGCCAGAAACAATGACTCCTTATGAGGGCACTGGTAATACAGGGCCTTTTCCCGTCTGTTTGTAAAGGTTGGGCTTACCATGTTCTTTCTGAAAGGTTTAGTCACCAATCCCGTGTTACAGAAGACATGCCTGCTCCTTTCCCTTTTCCAGGTCCAATGATGCACCAGCAGCCTCCCTCCCAGCAGTACAACATGCCCCAAGCGGGTGGGCAGCATTACCAGGGGCAGCAGCCACCCATGGGAATGATGGGCCAGGTTAACCAAGGAAACCACATGATGGGTCAGAGACAGATTCCTCCATACAGGCCGCCACAGCAAGGTAGGACTTCACTTCAGTGTTTTTACACCGATTTTAAATAACCACCTCTAAAACTTCCTTGCTTACAACAAATTTTGATCAAGTCATTGGGTGTCACAGACTCTGTTTGCAGACTCTTTTTGTTACCCTTTTAAGGGTGGTTCTTGCAGCAACAGATTACTGGTATCACCATGAAACGTGAAGACAAGTATTTCTTTTGTTTTGAGTTTTCTGACAAAAAGTATCTAAAAATACGCATCTCAGATATGCTGATGCAGAATTCTGTTTCAATATTTAAATGATAGGTACAGAAAAGGAACAGAGTACCTGCTTCGTTCTGAATTTGCTCAGTTGCAAAAAGGGAACAATGCTCCACAATCTTGCTTTTTTCTCTTTTTTTTTTTCCCAGTCCTTTTAGAAAAGGAATAACTTTATTTTTAACACCTTAGTCTGTTAATATACATGTTCTGAAAATGAGCTTAAAACTGAAGTTTGACATATATATATGCTCAATCTAGTGCAGCCAAAGAACTCTGTGTATTTTTATATATATATATATAGTTGATGCTTTTTTGTTTGTTTGTTTGAAGTGAACCAGATTACATATGCTGTCTGAAATGCAACGATATGGGTGGGGAGTAGATTTGAGAAATATTTCTCATACTAAAATCAGAAATTAGCAAGCTTTATAACAGAGAAAACAAGTTATTTACGTCTTGACTGGTTGTGGTTTTTCAGGCCCACCACAGCAGTACTCAGGCCAGGAAGACTATTATGGGGACCAATACAGTCATGGTGGACAAGGTCCTCCAGAAGGCATGAACCAGCAATATTACCCTGATGGTAATCTCTCATAAATGTTAACTTTCCCATTTTCTATACCTGCCCAATACTAATGTAGTCATATGCCCAAAATTAGGGAATGAGGCAAGAACAGTAATTGGATATCGTACCTCACATTTACGAAACCTTCCGGATTCAGAATTGTTACTGCAGTTTAAGTTACTATGACTAGTTAATTTTACCACTTACTCGAAGCGTGTAATTTGTGATACTCCCTTTTGAAACTCTTAACAACAGTTTTAGTATTTCAGAGTGAAGTTCCGTAATTGGCTTATCTAAAGTACAGAGGGTTCCTCATCACATCTAATTTAATTGAGATGAACTAAAACAGTCACAACTTTATTACAAATAAGAGAGGGGGCGTTATCCTTTTATTAAAGATTTTACTGAAGTGGAAAAACGTGCTAAAAAGTTGTGGTTTTTCTGTAAATACTCTTATCTTTTAACTTAGTGTTTAGTTTTCCTGTAAGTCGCACAACTGTGTTATTGCTGCTATGGTATGGGCCTTTAGTTTAATTTTCACAAAGGAATGAACTGGTCCCTGCCCTGAGGAGACTGTAATTGTGAATCCTCTTTAGAAGACCCCCCAGTGCTTTCAAGACAAGACGGGAACTTTGAATTTCATAAGTCTGTCCTCCTGCCTCTTGGAATTTAGAGTGCTGAAGGCTATTGGATTGTGTTATAAGTTAGAAAAGTTGCTATTAACCTGTTTTTAGGCTGAGCAGAGACTGGGAGAACAAAGATGCTGACTCATGACTACTGTGATAACCACGTGTGAAACTTAATGGTGTCTTATGAGTTCAAGGAATGGGGTAGATACAAAGCAAAGCTGTATCATTGCCAGAGCAACTACTCGTTGTGAGTTAGTTGTTTGAATTTTAATTTCTGTTAAATTGATTTTAAGATACATCAGGCCACGCCTGTATAAGCTTACATGTGTTATTCTTGGAGATACACGTGCAGAATTATTTTACAACTTGCATGAACTCGTAATTACGAACCTTGAATTTTGGCACTTCTATGCTATACCCACGAGCTTTAGATGGTTACGGGCAATTTACTGTAGTAAAGGCAACTTGATGTTACCCTCAACAGCTCTATGGCAGCACAGATTACTTCTCTAAGACCTCTTCCTTCTAAAGGTTCATTCTTTATCATTACCTCATTATTACTGTTATATAGAACATAAGTAGAATATATTATAAAACTGGTTTTAGTGGTTGTGTATTTATATTCGATTCAGTCAATGACATATGGTGCAGTTGCAGAACTAAGTACAAAGACCAGTTAGTTTTAGAACTGTTTTCTCCTTTCCTTATTTCTATTCCAAAACTTTATTCAAAATTTCGATAACTTGTATAATTCAATTTCAATTTTAAACAAAACTTTGGCTTGTTTTCTTGACCAAGGTAGCAATAAGATATTTTGGTCATCTCTAAGACAACAGGTGGGGTGCTCACTTGCATATATCGGTCCCTTAATCAGAGATGCCTGCAGTCTCTGACAAGGAAGGTTTGCTTGTCATGATCCTACTCAGGACTGGAATGTAACAGGAAAAGTTTTCTTAAGACTTGTAGGGATTTTTGTTTGTA